GTGTTGGACACATCAGATTTTTATTTGTGTATAAGCCTTGCACATTAAATGTAAAATATGTAAATATTAACTTTTCCATATTTCTTATTTTTTTTTACTTTTTGATGGTATAACTTTACAATTTTTTTATAATAAACATACATTTTTGAAAATTAATTTGTTTTATTTATGAGGTACTGGAATGCAAATTTTTCCAAACTCTCCTATTTTGGTAACTTCATGTTTTCCTTAGACCAACAACTTTCTTAAAAACTTGGAATGGCGCCCATTATAAAAAAAGGATTTAAATAATACATTTTATAATCTTAAATTCTTTAGTCAAAAAGCCAGTCACCCATAGTGCCACCAGACGAACAGCAGTTTAAGCAGAGAACTATATTTTCTCTTCCAGAAAATATAGGGTACAGTATGCTCGTTTGACTGTTTTCTAAGTGTGAGTTGGTGTTAAAGGCGATTTCTAGGTATTTCACCTCGTGTTTAGGAGCTTTTAGTTCTATTCTCATTCTTTTTTCTTGTCTTAATTTTCCTATCCTGTGTGTCTTCTTGGGATTGATAGACAGTAAATGGTCCTTGTACCACTATTCTATAATTTTGAGAATAACTTTTACAGAGTGTGTTCTCAAAATCATTGTTTCCAGATTGACCAGGTCATTTACATACGCTATTGTGCAGTGACTGTCATTATTGAGGCGGCTTATAAAGGTGTCGAGGACCATGTTCCTCATTGTGGACATCTCCTCTTATATGCACATTTTTTACACCTCTGTTTACTGTTCACTTTGAGAGCATATTTTGTATCCACCTCTGTGTAACCATCTGTGGAACAGTTCTGTTGGTTAGTGAGTGTATGATCTTGTGAAAGGTAGTTTCGTCAAGACCATCTTTTATGTATATGAAAATACATAACGTGGACTCCTTATTGTTTAGCCAGTAACTAGGTAAAGGGCTAAATCAGTAGATCTTCCTGCGATGTATGCATGTTGATTTGGGTGTAGTGGTGTTGACATGCAATGTTGTAGCCAGCCGTAGAAACATAGAAGCGCTAACAAATAATATGCCTATTTATCAAGGGGAGAAGATGGTAATGTGTTATTGAAAACAGAAAACACGGATATCTTGGCATAGTTTCTTTGTAGTCAAAAATCTTTTAGTTATCTGCCAATATCTTGTAAAGACCCAGAACTTATTCTTCAGAAGATATTTGTTGTTTACTTTATAAACATTTAACTTTATTTTAAGTCTCCAATATACACATGTATGCGCATGACATATAAATCTGTTATAACTTCTTTATATTGCAATTGAACCTAGCAATAAAACAAAAAATTAATATTTAAAAATTTTTATTAAGAATACTTAGGACCACTGTTCAAACATATCTTGCTCAAAATCTAACGTTTTATTTTTTGGTACCAAGTCTAAACCCGAAAAAATTCCCTTTGGTGGTAAAATTGTTGTTAAACATAAGAGTTTGCAAAAAGTAAGTAGAGCTAAAAGTTAGGGTTTTATATTGAGTTCTAGTTTAAAGTTTAAAAAATATTTAAATCAACTTTTAAAGACAATATCTTTCGTATTTAGAGCTTTTCATGTTTATAGATACTTTTTGTCTTATAATTTTAAGTCAATTTTATGTTAATCCTTGATACTCTCACTATTTATAAAATTTAAAACGTTCAAACTAGTGTTTGGGCTTTATATTTGATATACGCAGAAGAGAACTTATTTTAAATAAAATTATTAAAAATAATTGGTTAAATATGGATAATATGTGGAAGACTTATTGATGCTACAACTCTTTACCAAAAATTGGATAAAACGCCATCTTACTTATACAGGGTGTAACTAAATAAGTGTAAAAAATTTAAGGGGATGATTCCTCATCAAAAAAAAAATAGGATCTTTCATATAAAGAAACTTTATTGGAGCATCCCTTGTTCAGATACAGCCCCTTAAAGGGGGTACATAAAATTTGTTTAACAATTTTTTTCACAAGCACTAAACAAGTTACAATATTGAAATTAACCTGTTATTTTTTACTACCAAAAAGACACTTAGCCAGTAATTTATTTGGTTTATCCCATGATTGTAAGGGGTGGAAAACGCAACCCCTAAAATTTCGTACCAACGTAACTTTTTGTCTTATTATTTGTTTACCATTTTAAATTTTATTTCCGATAGCCTGTTTCATTCTAAACAAAAAATGTCTCTTAAATTTTTTGCCAAAATAAACCAGTTCGCAGCAAAAAATAATTTTACGAACACCTACAGAGATACATCGTCATAAATGCGAACTGGATTTATTGTTATTTTATAGTTACTACCTGCATTAAATGATTAAAAAGGGGAATAATCAAAACTAATTTATTAATAACAAAACATACAACATGTAGAAATCATAGTAAATGTTTAATATGTTTACCTTCAGACATTATGCATGCGTCTAGACGTCAACGCATTGAGCCACATATTCGCTCAAATAATCCTGCACGCATCGATGATGCGGTTTCTTAAATCCTCTACATCGCGAACAGGAGTACGATAAACCAAATGCTGCAAATGGCCCCAAGTAGAGAAATCGAGAGAATTGAGATCCGGATATCGAGCGGACCAATTTTGTGGTCCTCCTCGACCTATCCACTGATTTGCATATGTTTCAGATAAATTCTGACGTGCTACTTGACTAAAATGGGCGGCAGCCCCATCATGCATAAAAAACATATCCCTTCTGACGCCCAAAGAAACTTCCTCCAGCAGTACGGGATGCACTTCTCTTAAAAATTGAACGTATACCTTACCATTTCATCGAGAAGGTAGAAAATGAGGCCCAATTAAATAATCACCAATAACTTTGGCCCACACGTTAAAAGAAAAGTGTTCTTCATAGTGAGTTTCGACAATAGCGTGAGGGTTTCCATCAGCCCATATGTGGTAATTATGAAAAGTAATAATCTTGTCCCGAAAAAAACTACATTCTTCTGTGAATTCGATCGTCTTCAGAAAGTCACGATTTCTTCTAATAATTTCCAGCATCCAATTGCAAAATTCAAGACGGTTCGGAAAGTCTCGCGGTAACAGTGCTTGTACTCGTTGCAGATGGTAAGGGTAAAAGAGATGTTCCTTTAAAATTCGAAATACCGTTATATGATCAACATTTAGCTGGAAAGCAATCTTTCTAGTACTGGTAGTAGGTTGTTCTTTAATAAAATTAAGTAGTGCTTCCTCAAGCTGTGGTGTTCTTACTTCTCGATGGCGACCACAATCGTGCGTTCTTTTGTTGAATGAACCATGTTCTCGTAATCGTTGATGAAGTCGGGCAAATATTCTATGTGAAGGATGCTGCTGTTGAGGATACATTTCAGCATATCTTCTAGAAGCTTTTAACCCATACCCCTGCGACAGACCGTAAACGTAATGCATATCAGCTATTTCCTCATTTGTGTATGCCATTTTAATAACAAGTGAATTATTAAAGTAACAAATTACGAACAGAACAACAATACACAATTAGTATTACTTCAATTTAAAAAATTTACAAACTGACAGCTTGATTTCAATGTAATTGTCAGTATCGGTAATAGCGGCCTACTAGATAAATAAGTTTCATATTTTCATTTTATAGCGATATCTATCTTGTTCGTAAAATAATGTTTTGCTGCGAACTGGTTTATTTTGGGCAAAAAATTCAAGAAACATTTTTTGTTTAGAATAAAACAGGCTATTGGAAATAAATTTTTAAATGACAAAAAAATAATAAGACAAAAAAATAGGTTGGAACGAAATTTTAGGGGTTGCGTTTTCCACCCCTTAAAACCATGGGGTAAACCAAATAAATTACTGGATAAGTGTCTTTTTGATAGTAGAAAATGTCAGATTAATTTCAATATTGTAACTTGTTTAGTGCTTGTGAAAAAAATTGTTAAACAAATTTTATGTACCCCCTTTAAGAGGCTGTATCTTAACAATGAAGTTTCTTTATATGAAAGATCCTATCTTTTTTTCGATGAGGAATCACCCTCTTAAATATTTTACACTTATTTAGTTACACCCTGTATAACCAAAAAATACCTTAGGGACTGATATTCATATTAAAAACGTTAGGATTTCTTCGTCTACTTCTCCTATTCACCACGAGATCTTCAGACGGTGTTACACATATCAGATTTTATTTGCTATACATTTATGTTTCCTCCACTCTAAAAAGTAACAGTCTACAAAACTTTAAGGAGACCTACAAAATGTATTATTTTCTGGTCAGGTTTATATATTTGTAAGAGTAAATTATTACACGAAGTAAAAGGTTAAGTGGAAGAACGAGTTTTGGGGAAGGCATATTATTACTATAATTATTATTATTATTATTATTATTATTATTATTATTATTATTATTATTATTATTATTATTATTATTATTATTATTATTATTATTATTATTATTATTATTATTATTATTATTATTATTATTATTATTATTATTATTATTATTATTATTATTATTATTATTATTATTATTATTATTATTATTATTATTATTATTATTATTATTATTATTATTATTATTATTATTATTATTATTATTATTATTATTATTATTATTATTATTATTATTATTATTATTATTATTATTATTATTATTATTATTATTATTATTATTATTATTATTATTATTATTATTATTATTATTATTATTATTATTATTATTATTATTATTATTATTATTATTATTATTATTATTATTATTATTATTATTATTATTATTATTATTATTATTATTATTATTATTATTATTATTATTATTATTATTATTATTATTATTATTATTATTATTATTATTATTATTATTATTATTATTATTATTATTATTATTATTATTATTATTATTATTATTATTATTATTATTATTATTATTATTATTATTATTATTATTATTATTATTATTATTACTAATACTCAAACATTACCACACATAAGCAATTTTCATCAGAACGAATAAAACAACAAAATTATTACATAAGTTTTTATTTTATTTCGTTAAATTAAAAAATAATTTTTACAGTATTTTCTTAAAACTTGAACGCTCAAGAAGGTTTAGTTGAAATTGTACTTATAATTAAATAAACTGGTATTTTCATAAAAAAAAATATAGCAGTTCGGTTAAATCTCTGTAGGATACCTATTCATTAAAAAAAAACGATTATTTTATCTTAAATGATTTTTTGGTACCAAACTCATAACTTGTTAATTTTTACTTTCATACAACCAACCCCTCTTCTCACAATCCTGCAACATTAGCCAAACTTGCTGCTTAGCTCTTAGAGTAACTTCATTTTTAATTTTATCAATATCATCAGGAAACTTTATATCTTCCGTTCTATCTTTTTTACCATTAACAACGAAAAATATAAAATGAAGCGTATGACCAACTTCAAATACACACTGCTCCTTAATTTCATACAAAAAATGTTCATAACAGAACGGTTTAGTATCGCAACCTAACGTTTTTAATGTCTTAATAAAATGATTGTGGTAGTGAACGAGTAGATCTTCAAAATAATTTTCTAAGACTTCCAGTTGTACACTTGTCCATAGTAAGAAGAATAAATCAGATGCTGGAGAACCATAAGCTAAAAACTGAAAATCAAGAAATTTGTTTTGTACTGCTACATCGTGTGAAAATTTCTGCATGGAGTTGTTGCACCAAAGATCGTAGTGGACTAAAGTAGCAAAAGGTTCTTTAACTTTAGGTCTATCAACCTCAGTTATTAAATTTATTTTATCTAATAATTTTGCACAATGTTCGTTCTCTTTTATAATTTCTCTTGTAGTTTCCCAAAACATTTGATGCAATTCTGCACTGAATTCAAAATCGTGGCAATGCTTTTTGAGAGGCTCAAAACTATTTGGCTTTTTGAGCTTAAGTGCTATTGGAACTGCATGTAATTCCGCTAAGTCCTTGAGTATTAGTTTGATTGAGTCTAAATTAAAGCCCACTGTTCGATCGATGTTTTTGTATCCTAAAAATAAAACATATATGTATATTGTTTATTAGACAGCACTACTAATCTAATACTAATAGGGTCATCGTCAGGTTTATTGTGTCTAAAAAAAAAAAATAAGGTAGGAAATTAAGTAAAGCTGAACGGGAGGGTAACATTTTAATTCAATAGGCATATTGAAGGTGGAAGTGGGAGAGGAATATCAGAAGAGTAACAGGGATAATATCCTTTGATAAATTTCAAGAAGAAATATAGGAACATCCGCTTGATAGAAATAATAAATTTATTTCTGATATCATATTCAGTGGCGGCTGGTGAGGTAGTGCCACTGTGCCATGGCACTACCTTATTTTTGATGCAAAAATATATTTTTTATTTTTAAAACGTCATATTTTTATTTTATTTTATGCATTTCTTTTTATATTCAAAAATTATTTAAGAGAGGGAGAGAGAGATATTACCAGCAGCCTATGTAAGCAACAAAGATGGGGACATTTTACATGCATTTAAATAATAAAATCAAGGAATGTTCGTGCCAGGCACAGCGGCGCCCACAGCGGTTCAGATAATCGCGGTTTCTTGATAATGTCGATTGTTGACTGAATTAACTGAATTTCCATAGGTGCTTTTAAGTTTTTTCTTACGTTACGAAGTGTTAGTGACGTTAATATGTATCTTCTTGTTTTCTTATCTTATTTCCTAGTTTTTAATTTATTGTGGCAATGAATAAAATTGGCGCCTTAAAAAACTCTTTTAGTGGTTTTCCGCTAGAAGAAAAACTACAAATTAAAGAATTAGGCCAGCCAATTCCCGATTTAAAAATTGAAAAACAAAGTAAAAGTGGGCAAAAATCGCGGTGTCGTTAATTTAATAAAACTATTTATGATAAAAATAATTGGTTGTGTAGTTGCGAAGAAACTAATAAACTGTTTTGTTTTGTATGTTTTGTTTGAAGGTGTCAAAAAAAGGCAGAGACGATCTTGTCCATATATGGGATAAAATAAAATCCCATCAAAAATCTAAAGTGCACATGAATAATGTTTTTAGCTTTTCCATGCGTGGTAAGGTAAATATAAAAACCCAGTTAAATTCGGCTTATCGTGATGCTTTAATTAAACATAATTAACAAGTGGATAAGAGTCGATATGTTTTGAATTAAATTATAAATTGTATAATGTTTTGTGGAGCTTTAAGTTAGCTTTAAGGGGTCAAGATGAGAAAGATAATTCGGAAAATAGAGGCATATTTAAGGAACTGGTGAATTTTAGCGCCGAATTAGACAAAGACTTAAAGGTTTATATTCAAAGTATAAAAGCTTTCAAAGGTACCTCAGATACAACATAAAATGAACTTTTTGAGTGCATGTTAGATGTATATCACACAGAAGGTAGGAAAAAAATAGAAAATGTTCCTTTTGTTGCAATGATTGCCGCTGAAACGACGGACGTTGCTTGTAAATTTCAATTTGTTAAAGTTTTCAGATACAAGGACGACCAGTTGAGAGATTTTGGAGATTTTACATGCTCGATGGACACAACGCCAAATTAATCGCTAAAGGCATTTTAAATGTTTAACATCCATTATTAAAACATCAAAGCTATAACGGCGCGTCTGTAATGAGTAGTGGATTAAATGGTGTTTAAAAAATTATTAAACAAACATATCCTCTTGCAAATTACGTTCATTGCTATGCTCGCCACATGAATTTAGTTATGACAAGTGCATGTTCTGTCAATAAGCGGGCTAGAATATTTTTTTCTAATTTATCTGGCTTGTGCTCTTTTTTTTCCACGTCTCCTCAAAGAACAAAAATTTTAGATGAGGTAGTTAATCGCAGGTTGCCAAGATCTTTCCAAATACGTTAGAATTTTTAATCGCGAGGTGTTCATACTGTTTATGAGAATAGAAAAGACCTCATTACAGTTGTGCACATTATAGAAAGTACTTCACAGGATTCGTCGTCTATTAATCAAGCAAGTGGATACAGAACAAAACTTTAGGATAAAAATATTATGTTTCGGTTGAGTATTTTTCATCAAATAATGCCTCACATGGAAATTATTTCTAACCAAATACAAAAAGTATGCATAGATTCTGTTAAGGTCAAGATAGATTGGGAGAATTTCGAAGCAGCAATTTAAGGTATACGGGAGCAAATGGACAGCATTATTGACAATATTCAAGAAGAAATAAACACGTCGCAAAGAGAAACTGGTGCACCAATGAAAAAAAAAAAAAAAAAGGCACGAATTGAAGAGAACAGCAGAAAACGCGAAGGCATAGAAATATGCGATGCCGTTTTATTGCAAATAAAAACAAGGTTCAATTTCTCTGGGCATTTGGTCGCTTCTAATTTATTTATGACGGAGAAGTTTTCTGCCTATAGACATCAGTTTCCCAAATCATTCCTCAATGAAACATGTATACAATTTTAATTTTTAGACAAAAATATGCTTAAAAATGAATTACAAGTACTGTATCAGAGTAACGAATTAAGTACCACCTCCGGAGCTGTTCCCCTGTCAATTATATTAAATGAGGAAGGTTTAAATTGTACATTTTAGGAAACCATTAAACTTTAAGGTATTTTGATAACAATACCTATGTCAACATCTGAAGCAGAGCGCTGTTTTTCATTGCTTAAACGGACTAAACATTCCTTAGAAATACAATGAAGGAAGAAAGATTTAATGCTTTAGGTATGTTGTCCGCATTTTGTAAATGGAATTGAAAATTTTAATAATAAAGTAATTGAAAATTTTGCAACCAAAAAAGAAAGAAGAATGGATTTTATTTATCGGAAACTTTAAAACTAGTACATTAAGCAACTTTGTATGCGTGTGTAAATACATTAAATAGGTATAGTTTTATTTTTGTGATTTTTTTGGTATATCGACCTAAAGACTATGGTAATAACAAACTGCAAGGACTTTCAGCATTAATTACTGGGGATAAGTAAATTTATAATTTTTCTTTAGTTCTTTAATAAGTCTTGAGTAATTTATTGGCAAATTTTAGGATAAGACTAACCCTGACAGCCTGTTTCTTGACAAAACTTGTGTTAGAAACCCCATAAATAGTAGTCATTTAATAGATATAAAAGTATCCGTCCTTCTTTAATTTTTTTAAATAAAATTTTATGTCTATTTTGACAATACCGTGATAAATTTTTGCTGAAAACCAGTTTTATAAACAACTTTTGAGTAAACATTTGAGCGTGGCACCCCAAAAAATTTTTCGCCTCCGGTGGCGGGCCTCCGACAAGGCGCCTCTGGCAAGGTGCCTCCGGCGGGATTTTCACATTTGTTTAAAATCTGGCACTACCATCTCGTATTATCACGAGCCGCCACTGTGTCATATCAACAAATAAAGAAGTCAATAAGATTATACAATCATTTGGATACCATAATCCTTCCCAATCAATTAAACTATGCATTTCACTATCTAGATGGGCACCTAACTCTGCAAGTTTTGAATACCTGTAACTCAGCCAGCGATCCTAAATAAATTTATCCCTGATCTTTTTAATAAAACCATATTTTAAACTTTGAACTACATAAAAAAATAATGGTTGTCTATTTAAAAACTCACCTGATGCTACCAAGTTTTCCAGAATCAAAATAGCATTTTCATCTACAACATCGCTGTTATTTAAATTAATTCTTGAACCGTAATATTTGGGAAAACAATTTATTACTTCTTGAACGCCATTTTCTCTTTGAAAATTTTGTAAAATCGGTACTACCGTTTCGTACATAGCCACTTCATTTTTGAAAGTAACTTGAATGTTAAAACTTGTTTTAAATAATTCATCAACAGGAATTTTTTTCGCGACCAGTTGCAATTTTTCTTCATGTCCACTGTTACTTTTCAAAGTTACATCCAATTTCAGCATTAAACTACCGTAATTTTCTCCAGGAGCTGTTAGCCGCTTAATTTCAACACTTTTAATTTTTGAATCAACCAAAGTGTTTTTGAGTAACTCTGGTAGATTTTTAATAGTCTCCACCATATTTGTATTAGACGTAATGTGTTCAGGAAATCGCTGATGTACTTTAAAGAAACTGTAATAATGAACTTGAAAATAATTAATTATGCATTGTAATAATAGCATTTAGTACATTTATAATCTTAATCGTAAAATAAATAAACAATAATTTATCAACGATGTTCTATTTGTTTTAACTTTATTTTGCTACTAAGAAAAATATGTGAAGGCCAAGCACACTATATGCAAATGTTATAAAAATGTGTGATTCAAAACTATGTAGTTATTATTTAATGATAAGATACGTGAAATTTATGCAAATTAAAATTTGATTACGAAATTATAAGTGAAATAAATACGTAACGATAAAGTAAAAATAAGTTTTTTCCTTAGATAAAAGAGACCGGAGATGTAACATTGCACATCGCGCACTTTGTCTATTTTAACCCTAAGTAACCCACCAATTAAATATCATTGTGTTCACGACGCCACCCGAATTGCTCCGAAATTTCTATTCTATGCTTGTGTCCGCGTGAGTAAATCATTTATTGGCTGCCGTTTTTTGAAATATTTGTTGGTGTTATTAACAATTTAAAGTGTTTTAGTTATTCTATTTCAAGTTGAAAATGTCACGATGTATGGTGAAAAATTGTATATACAAATAATATAAGTGTCAATGTTATGAGAGAGTTGAAGCGTTTCCAGTACGTTAACGTAAACGTGAACGTGAACGCAAATAATGTTTACGTTGCTGTACAAAATATGAGTTGAAGTTGTTAAACGCATCGTCACATTTACGTATCATGACAAATAATGACAATTAATGACAATTTATATTGAGATTTCTTATTTTCCAATTAAAAAGAGGTTATTTTATTTGCGTTACGTGTATACGCCAGAACCCCTAAGTTTACGTATTTACGTAGACGTAAACATGAAGGATATTTTATTACGTATGCGCAGATGTCAAATTTCACTCTCTAATAAGAAATATATTCGTTTTCAGCGGTAAATATTTGTTGACGTTTTGACATAAAGTCGCCATGATTATTTGAGCTAAATACTTCAGATCCGCATTAAGGAGTTTCAATAAATATTAAGCATCAAATATATAATATTTCATATAAATCGATTTATCCGTTATAATTAATCGATTATTTTTGATTAATCAAACAATTTCAATAAATTGTTTTCGTTTATTTGGGTAATGAAATAATCGATTATAAAGGAACTACAAAAAGAGAGTAGATTTATTCAAAATATTCGATTTATTGAAAATAATCGATTTTTTTAGAAAAATCGATTTATTGTTTAATCGACTTTTTAAATTAATCGATTATTTTCGATTAATCGATTATTTTCGATTTTTCAAAAGTATTCGAATAATTTGTTTTAAAATACAAAAATAGATTATATAAAAATAATCGATTGATCGAATATAAACAGTTACATTATATAATCGATATTTCGGTTATTTTTTAGAATTATCGATTTATAGGTTAATCAACTTTTTATTATTCGATTATTTTTTATTTTTCAAAGTAAATTAAATAATCAATTTTAAAAGGAATATGAAAAAGAAAAGGATTATTGGATTATTTGTAAATAATCAATAATTCAGTTATTTTTTTTTTTTTTTGAAAATTGATTTATCGTAGAATCGGCTTCTTAATTAATTGGTTATTTTCGCTTAATCGATTATTTTCGATTAACCGAATATTTTCGATTAATCGTTTATTTTCAATTTTTGAAATGTATTCGAATAATTTGTTTTAAAAGAAATGCGAAAAAATAGATTATATGAAAATAATCGATTGATCAAATATAATCGGTTATTTTATATAATAGATATACCGGTTATTTAGAATTTAGAATTATCGATTTATCGGTCAATCAGCTTTTTATTAATCGATTATTTTCGATTTATCAAAGATAATCAAATAATCAATTTTAAATGAAATATGGAAACAAAAGGATTATTTGAAAATAATTGATAATTCAGTTATTTTTTAATCGATTATTTTTTATTAATCGATTATTTTTGATTAATCGACTATTTTAGATTTTTCAAAGATTATAGATTAATCTGTTTCAATGGACGAAAAAAAAATGGATTATTTGAAAATAATCGATTATTTAAAATAAACGATAATTCTTTTATTATTTTTTATAAACACTGATTTATCGGTTAATTGGCTTTTAAAGTAATTGATTATTTTTGATTTTTCAAAGATAACCAAGTAGTCGATTTTAAAAGAAATACGACAAAAAAATAGATTGTTTGAAAATATTTGATCGATAGAAAATAATCGATTATTTTCAATGATCGATAATTTATTTTGATAATCACCCACCCCTAGCGACCAAATGACCTTTAATAGGTTTAAATTTAAAAATGTTATCTGGTTTCAGACATATGCATTTCTAGAATTTTATGTAACTCATCCTCTATATTAATTAATATTCCTAAAGAAACAAGCTTTAATATATCTTTTTCTCAGGTTATAATACAAAACAGAATTTTCTCATTTTGACTAATTTTTATTATTATGTGAGAGTCGTAGAAAAAATATAATTTTCAACTTACAAAGTTTGATTTGCAGTATTCGCCTGCGCAAATGCATTTTTTAAATACTCTTAGACAATGAGTACCATTTCTTACTCGATTAACAATATTCTATTTCAACATTTTACTGTAGTCTCTTACAGAAAAGTCCGTAGTAAATAATAGCTAATGAAATATTCAATAAAAGGTCTTCTTTTTACATAAAATGTCGTGGCATCTGTTTGATATTAAAAAATCACGTTAAATTTATTTCATAATACAAAATTCCATTAAACGTATATTTTAAATAAATCTAATAGTTTATTATGATACTAATAAAGAAAGTCCGGCCCCTGTCACAGAGTTCGGGTCCCTGCCCAGTTCCTCCACTCCGTTAACCTTTCTTTGGAAATTGGCAACATTTGCGCAGGTTAAACGCCGGTGTATGTTATATCTCTGGTCTCTTTTATCCAAGGTTTTTTCATAATATTTCACACTTCCTATTAGATAATTCAATGCTTCCTATCTTTATATAAAATTCATAAATTGGTCCTATAACATATGCGAGATTAATTTTTAACTATTTATAATCCTATTAATAGATGTAACAGAAAATGCAAAATATTATGAAGACTAGAAATAAGGAGGCGAATTGGCATACTCGAAATATGGTCCCATAAACCGAACGCTTTTTGAGCTTTTTTAATTCACCGCAAGGGCGCTGGTGCTAGTAGTACAGTTCAAAATACATGGCTTCTTATGGGAATTTTACATAATTTTGTAAAAGAACATAATATAGTGTTGTATTTATTTCTAAATAAGTTTCGTATGTTTTAATTAATAAATTATTTAATTTTATCTATATAAAATACAAATTAGGTAGATACGACCAAATTCGAAACGATTTGTTAAATGGTGAAAGTACAAATTTGTGTCTAAATTTTTTAAATTATACCTAAATATAGTTTTAAGAGCAAAATAAAACACAGTTAACAGATTTTTTTATTGTTATAATACAAGCATAAAGGAATATTTGGGAATGTACTTGTGTAAGGGGGTTTCTCGCCACAGACAAAACGGTTCCTTACGAATGACGCTGGTTACGGGCGGTTCTCGAGCGCCAGATTTTTGATGATGGTTTACTCCACAAACTTTCGAAACAGCGTCGAAAGTACTCGGGTAGCTACAGATGGAGATGAGAAATTCCAGGGTTCAAAGGTCACTTAGACACAGGTAATAGTAGGCCACAAGTAACGGGCTTTAATCGTTGCTTGGGCTCGTACAGAATTTATCACTAGCTGAAATATAAGGGGGAAATAAAGTAGGGAATTATTAACCAGTAATACGGCAGGTTAACATTGACACATATATTGTGGTTAACTATTTACAACAAAAAAAAAATAAATATTTCAACGCTCTCCCCAGTTGTGGTGATAGTCAATATAACCCTGAATATAAAAAAAAAAACAAAACGGACGGTATTAATTCGCGACTAGTCTCAATCAGACGTCAAAATTAAATCAAACTAAAATATATGTCTCGATCGCAGGGAAAAAAATATTAATTTTTTTATTTACTCGGTAAATAACTGTTTAATCGCGGTATCGGGAATTTAAACTCAAATGTAGTTATTTTGCACTTTACGTGAGGAAAAATTAAATAAACGGTCGAAGAGAGTGCGAGGAGACAGGGACGCGAAAGAATTACTTATAGTTAATACACAGAAAGAAAATAAAAATAAATTTATACCCAGGGTAGCCTATTATCCCAGAATGAGCTGATCGTCATCACGAGCCCGCTCAGACAGGGTAATGAAGCTATTTTTTATTTCTATAACTTGCAATTTGCACGAAAAAAATGAAGCATATAAAGCGGAAAAGAAAATTAACGCGGATAGCACCTAGTCCAGGAATGAACTGATCGTCATCACGAGTCCGTTCAGACAAGGACAGGACACTATTTAAAATTATTTAAATTGTCGATAAAAAAAGAAAAGTAAATTATTATCGGAGGGAAGAAAATTTACTAACGCGGATAGTACCTACTCCAAGAGTGAACTGATCGTCATCACGAGCCCGTTCAAACAGGACAGGATACTATTTGAAATTATTTAAATTGACGGAAAAAAAATAGAAAAAACAAATTATTATCGAAAGGAAGAAAATTTACTAACGCGGATAGTACCTACCCCAAGAGTGAACTGATCATCATCACGAGCCCGTTCAAACAAGACAGGATACTATTTGAAATTATTTAAATTGACGGAAAAATAGAAAAACAAATTATTATCGGAGGGAAGAAAATTTACTAACGCGGATAGTACCTACTCCAAGAGTGAACTGATCTTCATCACGAGCCCGTTCAAACAGGACAGGATACTATTTAAAATTTTTTAAAAATTGCGGTTTACAGATTAACTCAAAAAAATATATATATAACGCGGATAGCACCTACTCCAAGGGTGAACTGATCGTCATCACGAGCCCGTTCAGACCAGGACAGGATGGTATTTATGATTATTCAAATATACGGTAAAAGAAATAAACAAATTATTAAAAGAGGGAAAACGTCTCCTCGAAAACTCCGTTTATAAATATTCTCAACTTTTAATTACAACGCGGTACCTACTAAACA